CGTATGATGGAGGTGAGGGGGCATTTCAGCCATCGGTTTGGTGTGCACATACACTGCACTGTCTGCATGTCCTGGAATAGCGAAGCACCTTATCTGCATTTTTTGCACTTCATTGGACGTTTATCTATATTATTGATATTTTCACTATTTTTAGATTTGATTCACATGAAAGTGTTGTGAATTTTATGTGTTAGTCATTTTAGGGGTTTCATTTCTTGCCACCCACCCAATGGCTGTTTGGTGGCCGGCAAAACCCCTGTGTTCTTGGTGGACGCCATATGGCGTCCTCCTGGGCATGCGCAGTTTGCGCGCCTGCAGAGCCGTGCAGCGGCCCGATCTGTCACTGGCTGTGTACCTCGGACACGGATGATGACAGATCTGAGTACCGGTCCCATTGCCGGTACCATGTGACCTGCTGTGACCTATCACAGCAGGTCAGTGACAGTTGTATACAATGGATGGCTTCATTCATGCCATCCATTGTATACTAGTGTCTAGCTGTGAATGGTCACAGCGATCACATGCACAAGCTGGGCCAATCACAGCCCAGCTGTGTCATGTGATTAGCCGTAGCCAAATCACAGCTAAGCACAAAAAAAAAAAAAAACCACGGAATGAATCGATATCATTCAGGTAAATGCTTGCTTATAGCAGAGTAATTCTTTGCTATAAACTACTTCCCCAAAGTAGTACAATGTTACTATGGTAACATTGTACTACTTTGGTCATAGTGAGATATGAAAAAAATCGTAAAAAAAAAAAAAAATTTAATAACACATTAAAAATAATAAAACATTTAAAAAAATTAAAAAAAAGATATATATTTTTTTTCATACTGTCACCAGTCAGTGTCCATGATCACCGCCATGCCAGTTATATGATGACGCTGTACTGCACTGGTGACAGGATGTAAAAAAAAAATAGTGAAACTAATTTTTTTAATGTTTTCATTTTCCAAAAAATTATGACAAAAAAATACAACTTTGAAAAACTCTCCATTCCTCTTATGAAGTACGTCGGACTGTCTACTCTGCAAAAAGAGGTCATTTGGGGGATTTGTACAGTTCTGACATTTGGGGGATATCTGTACCATCCTGACATTTGGGGGATATCTGTACTGTCCTGACATTTGGGAGATATCTGTACTGTCCTGACATTTGGGGGATATCTGTACTGTCCTGACATTTGGGGGATATCTGTACTGTTCTGAATTTGGGGGATATCTGTACCGTCCTGACATTTGGGGGATATCTGTACCGTCCTGACATTTGGGGGATATCCGTACCGTCCTGACATTTGGGGGATATCTGTACCGTTCTAACATTTGGGAGATATCTGTACTGTCCTGACATTTGGGGGATATCTGTACTGTTCTGAAATTTGGGGGATATCTGTACCGTCCTGACATTTGGGGGATATCTGTACCGTCCTGACATTTGGGGGATATCTGTACCGTCCTGACATTTGGGGGGATATCCGTACCGTCCTGACATTTGGGGGATATCCGTACCGTCCTGACATTTGGGGGATATCTGTACCGTCCTGACATTTGGGGGATATCTGTACCGTCCTGACATTTGGGGGATATCCGTACCGTCCTGACATTTGGGGGATATCTGTACCGTCCTGACATTTGGGGGATATCTGTACCGTCCTGACATTTGGGGGATATCTGTACCGTCCTGACATTTGGGGGATATCCGTACCGTCCTGACATTTGGGGGATATCTGTACCGTCCTGACATTTGGGGGGATATCTGTACCGTCCTGACATTTGGGGGATATCTGTACCGTCCTGACATTTGGGGGATATCTGTACCGTCCTGACATTTGGGGGATATCTGTACCGTCCTGACATTTGGGGGATATCTGTACCATCCTGACATTTGGGGGATATTTTATTATTATACAGTATTTATAAAGCTCCAATAGTTGGCTCAGCGCTGTACATTACAAAGGGGGACAGAACATGTGACAGAACAATACCAATACAATGTGATACATGAGGGGATCGAGGGCCCTGCTCTTTCGAGCTTACAATCTAGGAGGGAGGGGATGGTGGCACAGGAGGAGATAGATGGGGGATGGAGTGGTAGGAAGAGTGGAGGAGGTCGGTCAAGTTAGCAGGGGGTGGGGTAGGCTTCCCTGAAGAAATGGGTTTTCAGGGTGCGCCTAAAGGAGAGGAGAGTAGGTGGTACTTGGATATTAGGTCGGTGATGTAGTTCGGGGCAGTATGGTGGACGGTTTTGTACGTCAGTGTTAGGATTTTAAATTTGATCCGTTGCACAATCGGAAGCCAGTGGAGGGATTGGCAGAGGGGGGTGGAGGACACTAAGTGGAGGGATTGGCAGAGGGGGGTGGAGGACACTGAATGGAGGCCAGTGGAGGGATTGGCAGAGGGGGGGGTGGCGGAGATGGAGCGGTTGGAAAGGTGAATGAGTCTGGCAGCCGTATTCAGGATGGACTGAAGCGGGGATAGCCAGCGGCGAGGCAGGCCAGTGAGGAGGGAGTTGCAGTGATCGAGTCGTGATATGATGAGGGAGTGGATGAGCTGTTTAGTGGTTTCTGGGGTTAGGAACATGCTGATTTTGGCGATGTTGCGGAGGCGGAGTCTGCATGTTGCGGAGGCGGAGTCTGCATGTTGCGGAGGCGGAGTCTGCATGTTGCGGAGGCGGAGTCTGCATGTTGCGGAGGCGGAGTCTGCACAAGTTTGTTAAAGATTGGACTTGGGGCTGGAAGGATAGGTTGGAGTCCAGAATGACACCAAGTACTCTGGCCTGCGGGCGGGTTTGATGGTGGCGTTGTTGGACATGATGGAGAAGTCAATGGGGGGGTGGTGTCCGGGCTGGGGGGGAAGACAAGAAACTCGGTTTTGGAGAGATTCAGTTTAAGGAAGTGGAGTGACATCCAGTCTGATATGTCGCTCAGTAGGTGTGTGATTCGGGCGGAGACCGAGGGGGTGAGGTGGGGGGTTGAGAGATAGATTTGTGTGTCGTCGGCATAGAGGTGGTAGTTGAAGCCGTGAGAGTGTATGAGTTGGCCAAGTGAGGAGGTGTAGATGGAGAAGAGAAGGGGCCCGAGGACAGAGCCTTGAGGGACCCCAACAGAGAGGGGGAGTGAGCGGGAGGTGGTAGCATTATAGGTAACGCTGAAGGAGCATTGTGACAGGTAGGATGAGAGCCAGGAGTGAGCAGAATCTCTGAGGCCGAGGGAGTGTAGTTTTTTTTTTTGAGGAGGGGGTGGTCAACTGTGTGGAAGGCTGCGGAGAGGTCAAGGAGTAGGAGCACTGAATAGTGGCCATTAGCTTTGGCGGTTAGCAGGTCGTTGGAGAGTTTGAGTAAGGCAGTTTTGGTGGAGTGTAGGGGACGGAAGCCAGACTGTAGGGGATCGAGGAGGTTGTTGTCGTTGAGGTGAGAGCATAGGCGGGTGTAGACGAGCGCGCTCGAGGAGTTTAGATGTAAATGGCAGCAGGGAGATGGGTCTGAGGTTGTTTGGGTCATTGGGGTCCAGGGAGGGCTTTTTAAGTATGGGGGTGATGTGTGCATGTTTCAGAGGGGAGGGGAAGTGCCGGAGGAGAGGGAGAGATTGAAGATGTGGGTGAGGGAGCGTAGGATGGAGGGGGAGGGAGGTCGTAGGAGTTGTGAGGGGATAGGGTCGAGGGCGCAGGTGGTGAGGCGGGCATCAGAGAGGATCTTGGAGACTTCCTCGATGGTAGTAAGATCAAAGGTGCGGAGTGTTGGGGGGGCTTCAGTATGAGGAATGTAGGGTGGGGTGGAAGTGGAGGTCAGAGCAGTGGTGGGGCCGTGGGAGAGGGGTGATGAGGGGGTAGCTGAGTGAGGGGGAACGGGGTTGGAGGGAGTTTGAGCAGCGACGAAGTCCCTGCGGGTTATGTCGAGAGGGAGGGGGGATGAGGGGGTAGCTGTGTGAGAGGGGACGGGTTGAGAGGGCGTGTGAATTGCGGCAATGTCCTTGCGAATTGTGTCAATCTTGTTTTTGAAGTGATTGGCAATCTCAAGGGCGGTGAGTGATGTCTGTCCCGTCCTGACATTTGGGGGATATCTGTACCGTCCTGACATTCGGGGGATATCTGTACCGTCCTGACATTTGGGGGATATCTGTACTGTTCTGACATTTGGGGGATATCTGTACCGTCCTGACATTTGGGGGATATCTGTACTGTCCTGACATTTGGGGGATATCTGTACTGTTCTGACATTTGGGGGATATCTGTACCATCCTGACATTTGGGGGATATCTGTACTGTCCTGACATTTGGGGGGATATCTGTACTGTTCTGACATTTGGGGGATATCTGTACCGTCCTGACATTTGGGGGATATCTGTACTGTCCTGACATTTGGGGGATATCTGTACCGTCCTGACATTTGGGGGATATCTGTACTGTCCTGACATTTGGGGGATATCTGTACCGTCCTGACATTTGGGCGATATCTGTACCGTCCTGACATTTGGGGGGATATCTGTACCGTTCTGACATTTGGGGGATATCTGTACCGTCCTGACATTTGGGGGATATCTGTACTGTCCTGACATTTGGGGGATATCTGTACCGTCCTGACATTTGGGGGATATCTGTACTGTCCTGACATTTGAGGGATATCTGTACTGTCCTGACATTTGGGGGATATCTGTACTGTTCTGACATTTGGGGGATATCTGTACCGTCCTGACATTTGGGGGATATCTGTACTGTCCTGACATTTGGGGGATATCTGTACCGTCCTGACATTTGGGGGATATCTGTACTGTCCTGACATTTGGGGGGATATCTGTACCGTTCTGACATTTGGGGGATATCTGTACCGTCCTGACATTTGGGGGATATCTGTACTGTCCTGACATTTGGGGGATATCTGTACTGTCCTGACATTTGGGGGATATCTGTACCGTCCTGACATTTGGGGGATATCTGTACTGTCCTGACATTTGAGGGATATCTGTACCGTCCTGACATTTGGGGGATATCTGTACTGTCCTGACATTTTGGGGATATCTGTACTGTTCTGACATTTGGGGGATATCTGTACCGTCCTGACATTTGGGGGATATCTGTACCGTTCTACAGAGGTGAGGAGGTGACAGAGGGGATAGACGTGACAGAGGGGATAGAGATGACAGAGGGGATAAAGGTGATAGAGGTGATAGAGGAGATAGAGGTGATAGAGGTGACAGAGGTAACAGAGTGATAGAGGTGACAGAGGTGATAGAGGTGATAGAGTCTGCATTTCATAAATCCATCTCATTTCACACACGGATACAGCTCCACAATTCCTATCATTTTTCTAGCCCATTTATGGTACCTGGAAGCTTTTTGTTTTTCTTGGTCTTCCCCAGGTGTTTATATCTACACCCCTCTATATTCTTCTCTTCTTTTTTCTCTTCTTTTATGTAGACAATATTTGTCTCATATTTATTATATTTGTTTTTCATTTTTACATTTGGATATGTATATTCAGTTCATTGTGAATCTTTTTAATAGCATAGATTTTAGATTTTATATGGTAATTCTTTTGATTTCATTATAGATTTTATTTTAGATCTGGGTATATTCATATTGTTGCTGATTAATTTGTTGTCATGTTACATATCACCATGTGACCGCACATCCTCCAGGACTGTCGTTTTTTTATATATTCATTTTATATATACCACTACTAGCCAGTTTTATATATAATGCGGTCATTTAATATCAATATTTTGGTTGTTTATATCTCATGATCTGCAGCAATTTCTGGCTGCCTTTTGCTTTTTTAGTTTTTGTTATATAAATTTTTTGCGTCAATAAACATTATTGCAACTTCAGGTCCGTTTAAACCTCAACAAAATGGCGATTGTCGCGTTTTATTAATATTTGCTATATATAGACACCGTTATATGGTTCCATCAATAGTGGTTTAATTAGCGGGGATTTAGATCTCGGCTTATGCAGATACAGATGCTCCTGGATTTAAGAGATTTTCGGTCCTTGGTCTTCTTCAAAATGGCGCCCGGCCGCTCACACGCCTGGGGCTATATAAAGCGTTGTATTGCAATAGCGTCAGTAGGAGGCGGATCCCTTTGATGACACACCAGGGAGGAGCCTACGTGCTGATGTCACACCGCCGCGGCCATCTTTGTAAGTGGATTACCCTGTTTTATTGCTCCACATGGATGCTTTCATTTACTTAATAAATCTAGTGCACCATAAGCACTTTCTTTCTCTGGGCTCTGTGTGTGAGACGTTCCCTCCAAGGTGGGGCTAAGGATTGAACGATCTATTGGGAGAACCTCCTGTCTCTGGTGCATGACAGCTGTGCATTTCCTTTGCTTATACCTGGCGGGGGATCAGGCTGACCTGCTGGAGGAGTTTTTATTGCTGTTCTTAATGTGCATTAAATATGTGCTTCTGCTGAGAGTGGTAGAAGGAAGAATTTGTCACGGATTCACCTAATGTCACGGATTCACCTATCACCTGATGTCACAATCAATTTTTGGGCACTATAGAAGAATTTGATCATTGGTCATTCATTCATTTCACGTATCTGTACCATTCAGTCATTTCACGTATCTGTACCATTCAGTCATTTCACGTATCTGTACCATTCATTCACGTCTCTGTACCATTCATTCATTTGCTCTCTTCAGTCACTATTCCTATGCTGTCTCCATAGCGCTGCACTTGATTCATATATGATATCTATTTATATATTTTTTCTCACTTTAGTCACCATTGATATGTTTATATTCTAGCGCTGCAATTTCTTTTCTATGTCATTCATGATAGCGCTGCCCTCTCTTGTTACCATATGTATCTATGAATGCGCTGCTATCGCCATTCTCTGACCAGGACTGCAGGAATGATGATTGGGTTGAAGACATCTGCTGCAATCCTTGACTGAGATATGAAATGATTGATACTCGTGATATCTGGGGGTGATAGTGATAGGAGGTGGGGTGGTGAAGGTAGATATAGATGGCCAATGGAGATCTGCCAGTCCCTGGGCACCCATCTGGGTCACCTTGTAGGTAATCCGGCTCCATCCGTATGACTTGTGTTATTGTTGCCAAATACATCGACTTTGTGTTCCTCTGTTTGTGAAATGTGCAAATGATATGAAGGAGAATTCCTGACAAAATGTCTCCTCTCCTTATGTCCGTGTCCTTCTGTATAAAGGTCCCAATAGCTACGTCTCGGAGTCTCAGCCTCGCCCTGTGTAGGAGTGTACAGAACCGTCACCTCGCCCCGTGTAGGAGCGTACAGAACTATCACCTCGCCCCGTGTAGGAGTGTACAGAACGATCACCTCGCCCCGTGTAGGAGCGTACAGAACCGTCACCTCGCCCCGTGTAGGAGCGTACAGAACCGTCACCTCGCCCCGTGTAGGAGTGTACAGAACTATCACCTCGCCCTGTGTAGGAGCGTACAGAACCGTCACCTCGCCCCGTGTAGGAGCGTACAGAACCGTCACCTCGCCTCATGTAGGAGCGTACAGAGCCGTCACCTCGCCCCGTGTAGGAGCGTACAGAGCCGTCACCTCGCCCCATGTAGGAGCGTACAGAACCGTCACCTCGCCCCGTGTAGGAGCATACAGAACATCACCTCGCCCCGTGTAGGAGCGTACAGAACCGTCACCTCGCCCCGTGTAGGAGCGTACAGAACCGTCACCTCGCCCCGTGTAGGAGCGTACAGAACCGTCATCTCACCCCGTGTAGGAGTGTACAGAACCGTCACCTCGCCCCGTGTAGGAGCGTACAGAACCGTCACCTCGCCCCATGTAGGAGTGTACAGAACTGTCACCTCACCCTGTGTAGGAGCATACAGGACTGTCACCTCGCCCCGTGTAGGAGCGTACAGAACTATCGCCTCGCCCCATGTAGGAGTGTACAGAACTGTCACCTCACCCTGTGTAGGAGCATACAGGACTGTCACCTCGCCCCGTGTAGGAGCGTACAGAACTATCGCCTCGCCCCATGTAGGAGTGTACAGAACTGTCACCTCGCCCCGAGTAGGAGTGTACAGAACTGTCACCTCACCCCATGTAGGAGTGTACAGAACCGTCATCTCACCCCGTGTAGGAGTGTACAGAACTGTCACCTAGCCCCGAGTAGGAGTGTACAGAATTGACACCTCGCCCCGAGTAGGAGTGTACAGAATTGACACCTCACCCCGAGTAGGAGTGTACAGAACGATCACCTCGCCCCGTGTAGGAGCATACAGAACCGTCATCTCACCCCGAGTAGGAGTGTACAGAACCGTCACCTCGCCCCATGAAGGAGTGTACAGAATTGTCACCCATCGCCCTGTGTAGGAATGTACAGAACCGTCACCTCGCCCCATGAAGGAGTGTACAGAACTGTCACCTCGCCCCGTGTAGGAGCGTACAGAACTGCCACCTCGTCCCGTGTAGGAGCGTACAGAACTGTCACCTCGCCCTGTGTAGTAGTGTACAGAACTGTCACCTCGCCCCGTGTAGGAATGTACAGAACCGTCACCTCGCCCCATGAAGGAGTGTACAGAACTGTCACCTCGCCCTGTGTAGGAATGTACAGAACCGTCACCTCGCCCCATGAAGGAGTGTACAGAACTGTCACCTCGCCCCGTGTAGGAGCGTACAGAACTGCCACCTCGCCCCGTGTAGTAGTGTACAGAACTGTCACCTCGCCCCGTGTAAGAGCGTACAGAACTGTCACCTTGTCCCGTGTAGGAGTGTACAGAATTGACACCTCGCCCCATGTAGGAATGTACAGAACCGTCACCTCGCCCCGTGTAGGAATGTACAGAAACCGTCACCTCGCCCCATGAAGGAGCATACAGGACTGTCACCTTGCCCCGTGTAGGAATGTACAGAACCGTCACCTCGCCCTGTGTAGGAGCATACAGGACTGTCACCTCGCCCCGTGTAGGAGTGTACAGAACTGTCACCTCGCCCTGTGTAGGAGCATACAGGACTGTCACCTCGCCCCATGTAGGAGTGTACAGAACTGTCACCTCGCCCTGTGTAGGAGCATACAGGACTGTCACCTCCCCCCTGTAGGAGGGTACAGAACGGGTCAAACTGGTTACAGAGTGTCAGAGACTTTCCCCGTCATTCTGTCTTCTGCTCTCAGCGATGGCGTCTTCTGATCTGAGGAAGGAGCTGGAATGTTCCGTCTGTCTGGAATTTTATACAGATCCTGTAACCCTGAGATGTGGACACAACTTCTGCGGGACTGTATTGGCCGTGTGTTGGATACACAGGAGGGGACTGGAGGTTATTCTTGTCCTGAATGTAAACAAAGCTTCAAGAACCGTCCTGAACTTCAGAAGAATCTGAAGCTACGTAACATAGTGGAGAACTTCCAGTCTACCCATCCAGAGCAGGAGGAGTCCGGGGTCTTCTGTACTCACTGTATTCACACTCCTGTACCGGCTGTGAAATCCTGTCTGCTGTGTGAAGCTTCTCTGTGTGACAACCACCTGAGAGTCCACAGCAAGTCACCAGAACACGTCCTATGTGACCCCACCACTTCCCTGAAGGACAGGAAATGCTCCATCCATAAGAAGATCCTGGAGTATTACTGCACCGAGGACTCCACCTGTATCTGTGTGTCCTGCAGTTTGGCCGGGAGAACATCGGGGACACCAGGTGGAGACTCTGGAGGAGGCCTCTGAGATGAAGAAGAAGAAACTGAGGAATGTTCTGAAGAAACTGATGACAGAGAGAGAGGAGATGGAGAAAAGAGTCCAGAGTCTGCAGGAACGCAGGAGGAAAGCACAAGGAAAAGCAGATGATGAAACCAAGAGAGTCACTGCCCTGTTCAGAGACCTCAGGAGACGTCTGGAAGACCTGGAGAAGAGAGTCCTGAGGGACATCTCCGGGTGGGCAGAGCGGGTCTCCCGTCCCATGCTGGATTATATTCGGGATCTGGAAATAAAGAAGGAGGAGCTGTCCAGGAAGATGAGGGACATTGAGGAGCTGTGTAACATGACGGATCCACTGACTGTCCTACAGGAATCAGACACAGGTGACTTGTGTGATACTGAGGATGGAGATGATGAGGACAGAGAGAGACATGAGAACCTCCTCCATGATGGGGGGGATGGGGATGTGGGGGGGATCTCACACACATTACACACGGGTTTATCTGATATCATGTCTGGGGTCAATGTACAGAAATGTACAGGCACACATGTCTCTCCACATTCTACTACA